TCAACTATTTCGTGATTATTCACAACTGAGCTTTCTTCTCTACTTTCAGGTTCAATATGAACAATTCTTTGATTATCATCCACTGAAGTTTCTTCTCTGGTTTCAGACTTCTTGCATAACTGAATTTCTGTCTCATCTTCTGTCATCAAGGATTTTTTTCTTCTTATCTTTGAACTTCAGACTTCATCAAACGTTACATCTCTTGATCTTACTACACAATTAGTTTCTTTATGCCATCGTCTGTACCCATCGTCATTATCGTAACCTATTAACAGGCATTTCTTGGCTTTTTTATGTAATTTCTTCCTGTTTTCTTTAGGAACATGCACATAGCCCACTGATCCTATAATCCTCAAATGTTTGATCCGAGGTCTCTTCCCTAACCAAAGTTCAAACGGTGATTTGTTTTGCTCTGTAGTTGTTCCTGTTCTATTTAAAATATATACAGCTGTATAAACCAACTCAGCCCACAATGACTCGGGAAAACCTTCGCATGCGTGCATCATTGTTCGAGCCATTTCGACAATTGTACGATTATCTCTTTCACAGCACCCGTTTTGCTCAGGGGTATATGGACATGTTAGTCTATGTTTAATATCCTCTTTCTTTAAAGTGTCTTCAAAATTTTTATTAATGAATTCACCTCCATTATCAGTCAATAATTCCTTGACAATGCGACCATGAGTCTTGGTTAAAGCAAGCATTTTTTTTTTCTGGAACTTCAGATTTCTGCTTTAAGAAATAAATGAAGCGAAATTTCGAATAGTCATCTTTAAAGAGTAGAAAATATCTGTGTTTAGATAGAGAAGGCAGAAATGGACCACAAACATCAGCATGTAATATTTCACCTGGCGATTTTGCCCTTATTCTGATGCCAAACTGTCGCCGATGTGCTTTACCGAATATACAACCTTCACACAATTCTCCCGTATCTTTAAGTTTGATGTCTAATTCTCTCTCGACCAGATTTTTCACATATCTTTTATCTTGATGACCCATTCGTTCATGGTACAGCTGCAATGTATCCACAGCAGTCACAGAAGCATTTGCTTTAGATTGCACCGCTGAGCATTTCAGCTTATAAAGTCCACCAAATATCTGTCTTCGTCCTGCCACAACAACCTTCCTGTTAATTTCCATTGTGCATGACGTGACCTTTGACTGAAATAGACTGTCGGGATTCTTATCGTGTGCCGCTAACACCGAAAATAAATTTCTAGCTATACTTGGTACAAACCAAACATCTCTTAGAAAAAATTCTTCACCATTCGCTTTCATTCTTATTGTGCCTTTTCCTACAGCTTCAACTACGTCACCATTCGCTGTGGTAACAGTGTGGCGTTGATCAAAGTGTATGAAATCATAAAACAAGTCTTCACGCATCGTAACATGGTGAGTAGCCCCGTTGTCTACGTACCAAGATTCACGATCCAGACTACACTCTACAAGGCTGCTAAAGATATTCATATTGGTACTCGTAGTGCTTTCAGCTGAACTGGTACTACTATAAACTTTTTCTTTCTTCTGAGGACAGTCCTTTCTAATGTGACCTACTTTCTTACAAATGTAGCATCTGACTTTACATCCTCCGTTTGGTTCTTTCTTGGCGCGTGCCGATGCTTTCGGTTTCACTGTGAGAGCTTCGCCAGATTTCCTGAATTCACTATCTAGGTTATTCCTCAATGCCCTTTCGTGAGAGCATAGCTGGCTAGTGATGTTTTCAACAGTACGATCCTTTTTGGACATTAACAACCAACTCGACTTGAATGAAAAATATTCTTCAGGCAAAGTATCTAGAATTTTGCATATGAACAAAAAATCTGGTAGTTTAGTTTCGTCATTCCTTGCTAGTTCTAAATGTAACTTATGCCAAATATTTTTAATCTTGGAGATGTGAGTAGATATATTTTCAGTATCCATCTTTTTATATTGGAAAAAATCCATACAGGTTTCGTACAATTTATCATCTGTTGAACCATCAAATATTCTATGTAATTCGTCCCATACATCCTTCGGGTTTGTAGCAGATGGACTGTAGACTGGATTATCAAACGGGTAGGTAGCAGAGGTCGCAAAGTAAAACAATTGGTTCGGAGAAAACACGGAGAACGTTCGAAGGCAGAACATGCTTTATTGCGAAAAATCGATTACTTAAGTACAATTTGATTGCTCGCACCTATCCCATATATAAATCAGTTTTCTTATAAGATTTTTTAGAGTGGGGGTACGCACCGCGGACCGGGGAAGGTTTCGCTGTGGTCCCGCTGGTGGCGCTGTTGTCGAGACGTGGCTCGATGTCCTTTACAGGGTTTGTAAATCGAATCACATAAATATTATGCGTCTCATCAGAAATATTATTTGTTATCAAGAGCAAGGCAGTACTTTCTAGTGTACAGTACTCCTTAAGACGTTTTTCATATAGTGCATGAGCAGCCACTACATCAACGTCACCACCAGCAGCGGTTGTTTGTTCAGGCTTCTGTACTTTACCCTCAACAATATCCATAATGCCGTTCATGCCTCGAAGAACTGCAGACATACGGTATTTCTATGGTATCCAATGTTGGTGTTTCCATCAAGTTTTGGAATCTAAATTTTACTGAATTCCATACTTCCAAGCAAAAATATAGTTTTACTTCCAGCGTGATAAGCCCATAACCACTTAAAGGTAGAATTTAATAAAAAGCTTTTACAAACAACCAAAACTTAAAAATTCCATTTATTCCATGAACCTTTTCAGATTAATGTCGTCTTCTCGCTTGTCTTTTCCGCAGACAGTAACGTCAACTAAGTAAGCAAATGTAGCTTTTAGTTTTTTCGTTCGTATGATATAGTGGGGGGCTCTTTGAAAAGCAGCTACACTACTACACCAATAGGTAACACTTAACATAATCCGTGAGTTGGTAAATACTACCACAGGCTTCAAATGCGGTTTACAATTCCACCTTCGGAAGGCTAGGTACCTGATGATACGCACTCTTAAGATCTATATGACTAAATCATTATACCTAGATTATTACTATAAAGTCAATACTCGGAAAAGGGTATGCATCCAGATCTGTAAATCTATATATAGATTTTGAGTAGTCTATTACTAAACGTTTTAGGTAATGTCCACCTCCTGCAACTAGGACTGACGTTATCCATGGGGAGACGCTAGGTTCTATAACTTTGTCGTTTAGGAGATAAGCGATATCATTTGATATGATGATTGATTTTCTTCAGAGTGACGTCTAGATCGGATAGCGATAGGTTTGATAGATGGCGGAAGTTTAGTAAAAGCTGATACAGGCTGCACAAAAGCTTACAGGATGTTGTAGATTTTCAACGGTTCCATTTCACTACCGAACTGTAATTCATAACTGTAATTTACATAAGCTATTTATGATAGACACTGGCTGTTGTTTATAGACGTTATTTCCAATCTGGATATTCGCGTGACATAGACCATTGACGTGTAATAGATTATGTAGTGAAGTGAGGGTTACAGCTAAATTGCAATATTTTCTTTCAAATTTCATTAGCTCTACTAGGCTATTGTCAATAAAACTAATGGACCTTCCGGTATCAACTAGGTCGTCAGCTTTGTGATTATTGACAGTATGATTTTGTTGCCTTACATAAGCTAAAAGTAGCAGCAGCACATATGGAGAATAGTAGGCTAGATGGAGAAGCTTCTCCTTGACTTTTCTTTAACAAAGCTGACACTGTGCATTATAAGCAGGGCATTTCATTTTTTGGTGCACGGTCCCACCATAGAAAAAGTATTTCCTTCTCGAAGATGTGCCAGAACGTGAGGTTGTAGCCGTAAAATTCGGCATAGTGTTCGTCATAACGTTTAGAGACGGTGCAGTGTTAGATTATAAAACTAAGGAAGTGTTTTCGGCAGTCTCTAGTGAGATAGCAAGATTCAGGCAGTGACAATTTAGATTTTTTTAAAGTAATCGTTTGCGTATTCTTTTGGATGATAATTCCGCAATAAAGGCACCACGTATTGATTCGTTCTGATATTCCTTCGCTGTTACAGCTTTGAAGTGACAATCGTGTGCAGGGATGTCAGAGTTCGACAATACTCAGCAATAGATTCACCCGCTTGTTGTTTTTTAGAGGCAAGTAGATGTCGAGCAAGTGTAATGTTTTTCCGCCTTTTGAATGTATCATTAACCAACGTGATAGTATCACTGTACTTCGTGCATTCTTTTCGTGCATTATAATTAATATAGTCGATGACACGTGATTGATAAGTACCTTTAATTTTACCTATTCAGAGACGGGTGAAGCTACTTCTTTAAGAAAATTTTTAGTTTCAGCCAGTTGAAGGAACTGTATCGTATTGGACGTAGGTATCGTGACAAACCAGAGGGCAGAATTAAATTCGAAAAACACATTAAAGATAATAAATTGATACAAGAAAAGACAAAACCGATTTAGAGACTTGGTTTTATTATACATTAAAAAAAACATTTTTTTTAACATAAGAGAATATGACAATATCGATTTATATTCAAATATAAAGTCGTCGTCATTCAAATATAAAGTATACAACTTCTTAGCATGACAGGCATTAAAGTTGAGAATTTGATTTGCAATTTTACATACTACTTGTTCCAGTTAACATGACACCTCGCTCGCAACTTAATATAAATACTCCTTCGCGCGACACCCTGCCGCCTCATCCTCTCACCAGGCTGACCGACGTTCTTATAAAGGCTGCGGGAAGCCGCTGGATGCGGGCAGCGCAGGACCGATCGTCGTGGAGATCTGGCTGATGATGATAATGATGATGATTGCAATTCCAATGTGGTTATTCGTTTATTAATCAATAAATTACTTACATAAATACATTAATCAATAAATATAAAAGTCAATTCGAGAACGACACATATGAATTGATATTTACTTACGTCCTTATTGACGTTAACGCTCTTGGAGTCTGTGGTCGGATGACATTGACATATGTATGTACTGCGTGTGTCAAAACCGTTGTCATAGTGAGTAGGGTTTTTGCCTTTGTTTGTATTGTTTATTTATATTGCATTCATAGCGTTTTGAAATTGCTAGTGAATTCAGTTGAATAAACTAAAAAATATTACGTATTTATTTCAATATCCGTATACACACCGTTTGGCAATGTTAAAATTTGAAATAGTGTCCTCTCGAATTGTGGAGGGTGTGGAGAGTGAAAAAAAATTTGTAGCATATATGTTGCAAGTTAGGAAGGACGACATAGAATCAAATGTTTACGATGCCGATCCATCAAATGTGGAGCGAAGATACACCCACTTCCTAGAACTTTATAATGGTTTAAAAAAGTGCCATCCTTCGATGTTAGGTAGCATAACATTTCCTAGGAAGGTAAGTGTGTATTACATTTTAATCATATTAAGTTAATTTGATTGTTGTTTATTACTTGTATTATGGTGAGTCATGTTCGTAGTGTCGTTGTATATCTAGTAGTTGTGAATAATGTAACTACTACTTGACTTTATGAAGAGAAGGTATAATATTGGTATTGTTTTCTATTTAGTACAGTTGTAATCATTTCAAATAGTTTAAGCACTTATAACAGTAAGTAAACTACAGATTTATTTTTCAACTTAAGAACATTCTCATTTTATTCAAGTGTTAAAAAGTTCAATTACTCTTATTTCAGATGATGGTTGGAAATTTTGAACCAAGTTTAATCTCAACAAGGTGTTTCGCCTTTGAATCATTAGTGAGGGCTGTAGCAAATGATTCTAGGACCAGGGACTCCCCACCAGTTATCTCCTTTTTTCAAGACATTGAGTTAAATGAAGCAAAGAGACTGATTGAGGAGAAAAAATTTGACCAGGCACTATCAGTATTGGAATCGAGTTTCAAATTATTAAATAAGGTATGATAATAACATCATAATTATTTTTAAGTCAAGTGATTATTGATCAGAAGACTGTTGATTTGATTTCATAAATTTTTATCTTAAAAATTGGTTAGCCAGTTTCAATTTTTAAGTATAACTTTAGTACATTAACTAACACTAATAACTAAAGCTAAATATAATAATAAATAAATATTAGAGACTATAGCTTAGAGCAATTAAATTATAGAAATGTCAAATAACAAAGAGGCACAACATCCAGACCCTGATACAATTTTGAAAAGTTAACTTTTTACATTGACTCAATCAGAATCCAATCCAGAACCTCAGATGATGACATCTTTAAACTGCTGTGGCTTACACTCAACTATGGAAGACATCAATAGACATAGCATTCTGAATGAAAACTATATTACAAATTAATAATACTTATTCAATATTATTTACAGCTGTACACAGATCGATCTCGAGTAGTGCTTGGTGCTCTTTGTCGTATAGTGGGATGTGCAGAAGCAAGTGGTGGAGCACTTGCTGGCCCTGTCGAGCAATGGGCTCAATTGGCTCTAAGACGATATGAGGCTGTCAGTGATTCTGATCTCTTACTTATATATATTCCTCTGCTGCATGCATGTATTTCCATATGGTATGTACTTCCATTAATGTTTTTGCAAGCATAGGAAAGTATGTATGAAGTGTGTATGAATGACAATCCAAAGGCTTTATGGTGTGAAGCATGAACTAATAGCCACGACAAATGTTTACGATGTCATGTTTACATCAAGTCTGCATGATGCCATTTCAAGCCCTCTGCAGGCTTGACTGTGATTAGATTCCTTGTGTTATGTTCCACATATTATTGGATTTATATTGACGATTTAACCATTTAAATAAATTATCTTTTATGTGATTTTTAATTTCCATGTATTTTTACTAAGGTACAGGTATTTTCAATCCCTGGGAAGGTCTGCCATTTTACATACTATACGTACTTGTTACAGTTAACATGACACCTGGTTCGCAACTTGATACACCCCATGCTTCCTCGCGATATATTATTTTTCAATATAAGCCTTTTACGAAATAGATTTCGCCTACTGTATAATGCTTTATTGACATTAACATGAAAAATATGACATTAACACAAGTTACTTGGGAAATTAAAAAGTATTGAAATAATCAAAATATTGAAATGAGCTTGAAATGCTTTTACCACGCTTTTTTCACAAACTATATTCTAGACAGGTTAACAGTAATTATTAAATATTTAAAAAAAGTGACTGTCAGTGATAGTGATATTTGTTTTTTATTAAATATCCATATAAAAATGTCAATCACGCCAGTCATAATAAATACATACCCATTGAACATAGAAATTCCTTCTTTTCGATTTTGAATGATTGCAAAATATGCTATCTTTCTCCTTTTTTCGCTAATTAATGCAATACATGTCGTCGTAAGTTATTTAAAAACAAAACTATTATTTTTAGGATGTAGTATTGAGATTTCATTACAATAATTATAAGTATAGCATTTTAACGCAATATTGATCAAATATAATAAAACACTACTAATTCGATTTCGATAAAATTTATATCGGACGGACCTTCGGGTTTACAAATTGTCTAATAAATAATAAATCCAATTTTTCGCGGAAAAATCGCTGAACATATATAAAAAAGAAGTACATTGCTGTTGAACATTAATCTCCTCCTTTACGATTTTGAAGTTGGTTAAAAATATGTTTACCTATCAAAGCAAAAAAAAAAAAACTTAAAACTATAAATAAATAATTCTGCGTATATAAATAAATATAAACGTAATATAAAAAAAACTATTATATTTTATTTTATAATTACTTTGACTTTCACAAAGACAAATGCTTTTATGGGTCTGGGTGTTGTGGTACCTTCGTTATCTCAAATACTCCATAATACGGGGGCTTTAGCTACTCATCTTGGAATCTGAGCAATGTATGTGATGTTGTTAAATATTTATAATTTATATTATTAGATATTTTCTGAACATTCATTGTCATAATTCCCTAATTGTACTAATTAGCAGACACACATCCGCGGCCCGTGCAAGCACGCTTTCGCCTGCAACTTTTTTGCACGCAGTAATTTGTAGACACTTCTTTCTAGCCAGGTGTCACGTTAACTCAAATCAGTAGTAGATATGTATTCACTGAGTACCAAAGTCATACAAGTGACTTTTTGATTAAATGAGTAGTGAGAGAAGGACGACATCAAATTATTAATCATCACTAACAGGAAAAAGATAATTTTATGCAAGTGATAATAAGGATTTACATTATAAAATTAAGCTTTATTAAGTATTATTATAGATATCTTATCGATATAGCTTTGCTCAATTTTATAGATTTTGTGTTGATGTACTTGGGTATTTTATAATCTTTGTATAGTAGAAAAAATAGGGATGACGACTAATTTTTGTTTGTTTGTCCGTCAGGTAGAGTGTAAAAAAATATTAAATACGTATATTTTGAATTTTTTTTTCGTAATCTTAAAATTACGACGATACATGGAATTGAAATTTCGCAAGACGTCACGTTATGGTACGTTTTCTACTCAACTGTGACGTACCGAGCCCCCACTCCGCAACTTTAATGCCTGTTATCTAGGCTTTTTCTTGTTAAATTGAAGTAAAAAAAAAATCGTATTTAGTATTTTTCTATTATCTGACTGACGGACTAAATAGAATTTTTTACGCAGTCGTCATCCCTATTATTACATTGATCACTATTGGATAATGAAGTCATTATGTTTTTAATTTACAGGGAAACATTAGGACGTGATAAAACAAAATTGGTCCACGAACTAAATGATCTCCGTAAACGAGGAATGAAAGTGGACAACGTTCCAAAACTGATGGATGCTGTTGACGAATTAAACATCACTGTATGAACACAAATAAAGGAGCCTTAGTCGGTGTAAGATTATGTATTTATCATAAAAGAGTCAATTTTTTAACACTATGATCATCAAAAGATTAGAAATATTTCTAGAACATTTTTATTAATGAACGACATATTGACACCATCAAATCATTGTAATATTGAGGGTTAAAAAGGTTAATTGTTTACATTACATTTTCTTGCAATCAGAGTTACACAGGGGTTTTTGTGAAATATCAGTAATATCACATAACTAGACTGGAGCTTACAATATAATCAACAACATCTATGCGTTTAGATTAACTAAAAAAATTTAACAAAACCTTTTTTTTTTCAAGTTTAGTTTTGCACACAATGTCAGTATATCACAATAAGTATTTTGCCAGCTTTATGTATAAACAAATTGGCGGCTATTTCAAAACTCGTAGAACGCATGTTGTTGATGAAATTGTCTAATAGTCTGTGGAGGTTGTTGCTATACATCAAATAACCCTGTATATTTGGAAATGGGTGCGTAACTGGATATCGCTAAATAATTTTCCTTAACCAAACAACTCTAGATATGTAATCTAAATAATCTTTCAGTAAAAATATCATGTAGTGAACCAACACTACCATTTTCGTATTAATAATGTCATTATTTTGCTTATGCTTTTTGTGTCACTTGTACAGATGGTATACTAGGTGGTCTTGGTTAATGACTTTAAATTATATTATTCAGCTTAGTAAAATCATTTTTTTTACCTTTTATTTAAATGAAATAAGATTTACACATATTAATATTATTTTACATAACATTAGGTTTATCCGATCTCCTTATAAAGAATATTAATCATAATAAATGTAGATGTAAATTTGTAACTAAAACAATTTATTGTATATTTTGTCAAATAAAAATCATTGAAATATATTAGGATATAAGTATATTGTAGATGCCTTAAAATATAAACATGTACATTGCGAAATAGTGCCTATAATATTAAAAATTGTATTAGAAGTTCCCGTACAGCGCATTGTAAAAATTAACAAACATACATAGGCCAATTATAATCGCATCTCAATATAATCTAAAATCTGCCACCATTAATGTTGATAAAAGCTGTTTAAGGTTGCACTAATAATATTGGACTCTAGCTAGATAGAGCAATGGTGCAAAGCGAGTTGTTGAGACATTATTGAGATGAGATTATTAGCAGAATTGACCTGCAGTACTGTTGTTAGGTTTAAGCAATTTGCTAGAGCAGTTCTGAATTTTATTCAAGCGACATTTTTAACCTCAGATATGCCAATTGCAATTTTCAATTTCATATATTTATTTAAGATGTCAATGCGTCAATATATCATAGCAGTGAGATTATTTTCACAAGTATTAATTGAAGAAGAGAAATTCATTACACAAAAAAATCAGCAGTACATCTTATTGTTAAATGGTCATCTAGTCTCATCATATTTTATATTAATAAGTGAAACAAATGTCGATAAGATGAATTAGTAATATCGAATGTGGATAATAATGAAGAATATATAGATAACTGATAGATCTGTCTGTATGTATGGGTAGTTTTAAATACACAATGTGATAAAACCAAAAAAATATTATTTGTTAATAAAATCAGTTTAATTAATTCACTTTAAAGAGATATTTACTATTTTAATAATACATTTTTAATTTTTCAATTATAATCGAACATCATTTATAGGATATTTTTTAAAACAGCTATATTTAGTTTTGATTGTTTATTTTTAATATTGCTAACTACTTCAGTTAATCTCAAAATGTTACTTATTTTATAGATTTATTTAGTTATGGTGGCTACAAAAAGATGCAATGTAAACCAGGGCAATTGTAGCTACTAGAAATTAATATCAATTTTTTTCATTTTATTTTAGAATTCTTTAGATTTAGTTTATTGTATTAATGATAAATGTTTTAATCTATAAAATAATTTAAACTTTAGCCTATTCCTTCTTGAGATCTTTGTCAAAACGGGGCAAATGCATCTTAAACCATAAATATGGGAGGGGGAGAGGGGATTTGTAGTTATCAAAGCGGATACAAAGTCCCATTTTACATTTCTGATGGGCTAAACACAACAGTCTTAGAATCTCAGTAAATCAACTAGATTTGCCCCTTGCCACAATTGTCCTGGTGTAATATTTTCCTTTTAATCATAGATCAAATTATGTAGTTATATTTTTTTAGATGAGTATAATATCCTTTTTGCTATAACACTACTTTTATCAAATTATTTGTCGAATATTATTTGAATAAAAAATAAGATTTTGAACTACATAACAATAATGTACCCTTGGGCAGTATAATGTAAAATAGTGGTGTCACATTTAGTAGGATGCTAGAACTTTGGGCTTTCGTTCTTTTTACCGCTGTCCTATGACCAAAGGACAGCGTAGTGCTACAACAATTTGTTATTTTTCGAGCATTAGTGCTATCTCATTAAGTCATATTAGCCAAAAGGAATTAAATCCCAAAGTTCCAACAGCATACTAAATGTTAATTATAATATAGCTGTCGCTATAAAATGAATTTCTTGATCAAATTATTTAGTGTGATTTAGCTGTAGTCGGGTTTTAGTTTTTGAACTTTCAGGATTTATCTTACACGTTATATACATGCATATATATTTGAAATGGGCTAATTAAGGCCTATCATTTGATACCTTACACTGAATGATTGAATAATATATAATTTTAGTTTCTTACTTTATGTTCGCTAGAGGGCGCTGTTGCCAATTTAATGTAACGCCACATAACCATACTTAACAGCACGTCGAAGTTTAGCATCTTAAAGTCGCTTCTAATGATAACTCATTTGTCCAGTTATGATGAGTAGTTACTTGGGAACAGATGAACATTTTTATATACATACATTTGCCGGCCAAAATCATAATCCTCTTTTTCGCTTCGCCCTAGTCGGGTAAAAATGTTGAAATAGTGGCAAATAACGTTAAATTGTCTTTTAAAACTTTTATGTACAAATGTTCCCAGTATCACATCCGCTTATATTGAAATGATTTTGAACTTATAACACATTTAGGTTTAAATTTTATAGGAGACTTGTCAGTTTCGGGTGACCTGATATGCCGTTGACTGTACCTATCATTTTTTAAAGCTAAATCTGATTGATCAAGGTATGGAACACGTCGAGTGCTTGTTTAACGACTTACTTATATACTAGCATAGAACTTGTGGCTCATTTACACTGGGCCTCTATTCTGCTGTGATTTGGCTTATTCCATTTATCCACCCTGAAACAGCCACCCTAAGGTGGATACTCGGAAACGCGTGTTTATCTAACCACCCTGAACGGGGTGGATAACAGGAATTCGCATCATAATATTATTGAAACCCTTTATTTTTCTTCACTAAAATCACTTGAAGGTTTCTATAGATTTTTAGTCTGGGACAAGGTAATGCCTCCGTCAAGTCGAGCAAAAAAGTGACCTAACATTAAATATACTTACATACTTCTCGTTTCTCTTCTTCTTAAATATACGATAGAAGCTTTTGTATAGTAGATAATTTTATTCCACTATACTTAAGGGTAAAAAATAGGAAGAACATTAAAAAATGACGTCCATCTATCCACATCGGATAGATGAACATGCGTTTCCGAGTATCCACCTTAGGGTGGCTGTTTCAGGGTGGATAAACGGAATAAGCCGTCGATTTATTAATAGCATCTCAATGGCGTTTCAAATACATATTTAATTACATTTTGCCATTGTGCTTATCTATCTGATGTCTTATATTGTACGGTAAGTGAAAAATGTGTATCTACGTCGATTCAAAGTGGTTCTTTTGATGATATGTAGGTAATTTTTAGAAATTAAAAGCGAATCACTTTCCAAATTTGTGTTTAGAAATCAAGATATTCTTTGATTACCTACATATAATTAAACCGGTATTTGTAAAATAGTTTACGTCTTTATTTAATTTGAAATAAGTGTCTACAATGAATTACGCTACAATTTAGCACTCGTGTTTAATAATTTTAGACAGCTATCTTAAGGCGACTGAAATTTTATACATTTACATAGATAACAATAAATAATTATGTTTATCATAGCATTAGTTTTATTTTTTGTACGGCATTAACTACTTTTTTTTTAAAGTTTTGTAAAGACAACTTGAACTTTGAAGGTAGCCGTAAAGTTGATGAAGTTATAAAACAGTATTAGGTTGTTTTAAATTAGGATGATATAGCTGATACGTGTCGTTATACGAAAACTAGGCGAATTCGTGAATTGAATATTGTCTACCAATGAGGGCTAACGACTTTCAAGTACAAATTTTTGGCACATTTAAGAGCTCTCGCGACTTTGTGACCACTGAATTCATAGAACCATAGAATTCATACCATAGAATTCATAGAACCCAGAAAATAGGTCAAGTATGGGTGATTAATGATTACAAAGCTACTTAAGCAAAAGTTCGTCATCGGTTAGATGACCAAAAATTTACCATCGAGCTCTTCTCTCTGATAATGGTGTTACAACTTTTCTGTGATAAAAAATTGAACATGATATAAGTAGTGCTCAAATTCTCTTTAGGGAAAAAGGTTGTGGTCAAAGGTCGGTCAGACTTTACAGACTGTGGCCAACTCGGGTTAACTCGCAACAAGGTGTTGCTGCGTGTATGGTGGGATTGGAAGGGCGTTATTCATTATGAGCTCTTATCGCCAGGCAGGATCATCGATTCCGAACTCTAAAGCGAATAACTGAACTCTAAAGATTAAAGCAAGATGTTGAGAGAAAGCGGCCAGAATTCATCTATAGAAGGGGTGTGGTTTTTCGTCATTTTACTTTATAATAATTATCTAAAGACATCGAAGAAAGACACACATACTTTAACATAATTCAGCACATTACTAAAGCTAGACGTCACACATCTTTTGCCACTCAGCAAAAACTAAGAGAATTTGGCTAGGAGGTGTTAATGCATCCGCCGTTTGGTCCGTACTTTGTACATTCAGATTTCTATCTGGTTCGGTCTCTTCAGAATTCTTTAGGCAGTGTCAGGTTAACATCACGTGAGGATTATTAAAACCACTTGTCGCGGTTTTTTATTCAGAAGCCCCAAAATTTCTATAGCAATGGGATCCACAATAAAGTTATCGAACAAAATAGTACCTACATACTTTAGTTAAATGTTAATAAACTT